ATGTAATTAGGCCTATGTGTGAAGATGTGATTCACATTTCATGTGTTGCCCATTGCATCAGTACGATTAGACAGACCCTTCGCAAATTCGCTCCAGAAGTCGACGGAGTCTTTGCAAAAATGAAAGTGCTTTTCGTCTTTCGAGAAGCACGAAGCGCGTCTACATTGAGTACTGTTGTGTCAGTGAACGCAGAACAGTAAATCAGTAACTTAAACGGATGTATGGACACGGTGAACACGTAACAGCCTTTGTAACAACTAAGTCATTCACCCAAGCCATTTAGAAGCAAGCACATGCGTTCATTCAATGACTGTTAAGTGGGCGTATGATTCACGACGCATCAATAGCGAGGAGAATTCTAAAGACCACTGCAAAGGATGATAAGACATCACACGGTCCCCCCCTCTGTTTCGAACTATTTAATCACATCATTGTTGTATCCCGAAAAAGCAGCACCGGAACGTACATTTGGAAAATCCTGTCCGCACGTACGCGCGTTACAATTAAATCGATAGACGTTCGAATTGCGATCAGTCAAATCCAAGGTCACATGACTGGCCAAGCAGTGCTAAATAGCAGTGTGAGCGAATCGAGGGAAAAACAAAGCAAAGTATTTGAACACGATAATTTCCCCTCCTCTGTTCATAAAAATATAAGCACTGCATGTCAGTGCACGATCTAATTTAATGCCAGCACCCCGAGGAATTGTCATGTGGCGTTAGCCGTTAAAGCGTATCGCTAGACAGGCGACGGATCCGACCGGAACGTCATAGGTTTGTATTAGTTTGTACCGAGCGCTGTGTTGTAGCTGTGTTCGTCTGTTCACTAGCACGCTGGGAAAGCGCTGTATGCAGCCGTCTTGCATTCACCTTTGTCCCATCAGCCAACTTGTAAGTTCCTGGTGTGCACACAGGTTCCACACGAGTCGGGGGTCCGAACACATTACCACCTTTCCGGGAATAGGGTAGTCTCACACGAACAAATGTCCCAGGGGATACGTTCTCCCAACATGTCTATATTTAGCCCCTTAAACAGCCTGCCTTTCGTATTCTCTGTGCTCGGTGGTTTCTTCGAGTGTAAAGGCTGCATTTAATCGAGTTCGAATTGTTCGCCCTAGCATTAGCTCCGAGGGGGTCGTTGCCGTTGCAGCATGTGGAGTGGTTCTGTATACCTCCAATGCAGATACCAAAGCATCATCCCAGAATTCGCTCGAAAGCCGAAGCACTAGTAGCGATTCTTGCGAAGTACGCTTAAGTCGTTCGACCAGTTCATTCGCAGAAGGATTATAAGGTACAGTCCTCGAGTATCTGATACCACTGAGCCTTAGGAATTCAGCATACTCGTTACTTCGAAACTGTGGGCCCTTATCAGTGGCTATTTCTTTTGGCAAACCGTACCTTGCAAACAAACAAATGAGCACCTATATGATGACGGTTGTAATTACGTCGCTGCATAGAATAGTTTCTGGCCATTTGCTGTAGAAACAGGTAGCCACTAGTACCTTTCGCTTCTGCTGGGGTGCATTGGCAAACAGGCCCATAATGTCGATGGCAATTTTTGCCCATGACTTTATAGGGTACACGATAGGTTGGACTGAAGCATTCAGGGGCCTCGCAGTCTTATCGGATTGTTGGCAGGCGTAACATTCCCGATTAAGCGCTTCGACTCTGAAATTCAACTTCGGCCACCAATAGTATTGTCGTATAGGAGGTTTTGTTCGCACAATCCATGGATGACCTTCATGCGCACATGCAACCACCAGAGGAATAAAGGTTGCAGGGACCACAAACTGCTCACCTCTGATAATGCAGTTGCTCACAGTAGAAAGCTCGTGCCTTAGGGTGTAGTATGGAACTAACTCAGGTTGGATCTTGGTACGACTGGGCCATGAAGTGGATATGTACACCTGAAGCTTCGATAGGCCAGAGGCTGTGCCAGCGTGGTCTCGTATCAGGTCAAATGTTATCGTAGGTGTTCCGTCTGAGAGCTGCGTTACCAATTTACCTCCTCTAATTCCTCGTTTTCCCCTTCCTTGGACAGTAAGACTTTCGGCAAGGCATCTGCAAGTTCGTTAAAGCACCGTGGCTCGCACTTTATTTCATAATCATAGTTCAATAAAGCTGAGTACAAGCGACTCAGGTGTACCGGCTTCTGGCCTTTGTTAACGCGACTTAGTAGGGTTGTATGAGCAGAACGATCGGTGCGCAAAGTGAATCGACGTCCGAATAAGTAAAAGTGCCATTTCTCACACGCCCAGACGCATGCGAGAGCCTCCTTCTCGCCGGTGGCATAATTTCTTTCAGTATCAGACAAGATGCACGATGTGTACACAATCACTCTCTCCGCGCTATCGTGCAGCTGGAACAGAACTGCACCGAAGCCAACATCTGAAGTTGACAGTGCTGATTGAAGATCACCACCGTAGGAGTGCATTCAATCATCGCTCGTATGATCATGTAAGCATTGTCTTGTTCAGTGGCCCAACGAAACTCATGGTTTTGGCGCGTCAACCTCCGCAACGGCTCGGCAACAGTCGCAACATTCGGTAAATGTCGAAGGTAATAAGAACACAAACCCAAGAAATGGTTCATCTGTGTAACATTGCATGGTTTTGGACATTTGAGAATGGCTCTGGTGTTCTACACATTAGGCTTAAAACCAGAAGTAGAAATAACATGGCCAATAAAATCGACCTCTGTTACAGCGAATTGGTATTTGCTGGTATTCAGGCGGAGATTTAGTTCATTCAGTCTATGTAGCACGTTATGAAAGTTTTTCTGATGTTCGGTGGGGTTACTACCAAAGACAAAAATAGCATCCATATGAACAACACATCCTTTGAGATCTGATAACACTCGAGTAAACAATTGTTGTCAAGCTGCTGAGGCACTAAGAAGGCTCGTTGGTAGCATTTGTATTAATACAAACCGTCTTACATGAGGAGAGCAGTTAAATATCGGCAAGCTGGAGTCAGTGGCATGTGGTAGTATGCACTGCGAATATCCAGCTTTGAGAAAAGTTTGACGTTTGAAAACCTAACCATCAACTCGTCGAGAGAAGGCAAAGGGAATTTTTCACAATTTGATGTCGCTTAAGCGCTCGAACGTTGGTGCATAGACGAATGGAGCCATCTTCCTTTTGAACGACAACTAGTGGATGAACCCATACAGAACACTGTATGGGTTCTATCAAGTCTACCTTGACCATGTTTTTCAAAGCTTTCGACAAAGCCTCTCGCTTGGCCAGAGGTACAGGCCCAGGTTGTGAACTGCTGAGCGGTTTGCAATCCGCGCTTAACCGAATGTGGTGCACTGCTTTTGAGACTCTACTAATATCCGGTAGAAAGAGATCTGGGTAACTGGACCGTAACGAATGAAGGTTGACGCTGGCAATAGTCATCCGGCTGACGCATGGTGATAGGTTCAATTAGACCACGGCGTTACGTCCCAATAGAGGCTTACTATCAGTTTTAGAAATGTAAACTTCAATTATACGCTTCCTGCTGTTTAAAAGAGATATTGAAACCGTAACAAAACCGAGTAGGTGGACATCACCATTTGAGTAGCTGCTGAAAGTGCAAGCGGAAGGATGTACAGTTAGCTGACCAAAATGCTGTTTGCAACAACAATATGACACAACTGTGATTGGTGACGCGGAATCTAGTTCCATGTCTGGACAAAAGGTTTTATTTCTAACTCCAAAAAGCACACGACGAATATCTGACGAAGACAGTGGGTTCTTGAGTAGGAGACGAAGTGGATATTCGCATTCATTAACGCTATATATGGATTGTTCACTGGTGACCGGAGAAGCTGTAGAATCATTTGCATTATCAACGAAAGAAATGGCGTGGGAAGGACAAACCCGAGCAAAATGACCGGCCTTACCGCAATTCCGTCAGAAAATACTCTTTGCAGGAAGTGACTTATCATTTGCACGATGCTCAGCATTTCCACAACGGTAACACTTATTTCTAACTGAGGATCGCGTCAGAGGGCGTGTAGAATCCAAATGGTCAATTTCAATAGCTCCTGTGCAACATCACATGCCCCGTCCCATGTGAGCTTTTCTGCGTTCTCCAGTAAGAGACACTCTCAGATCCGTGAATCCGCGAGACCAGAAATCAAATTTTGTAATAACATGGTTTATTCCACCTTTTTCTTGAGAATACTGTCGTAGCCACACTGTCAAAGAGAACAAACAAGGCGGGAAATGAATGCATGCACTGATTCCCGGGATGCTTGTTTCAGCTACGAAAAGCTGTATCGAGAAGTATTGCTGTTCATATTAGGAGGACAGGTATTAGACATTCATTTATTGTGAACGAGCTTGATAGCTATTCTTTACTCTTCTTATTTTCTATTTCTTGACTGTTGTTTAAACGCTCTACTGGGTTAGCCCGATTGGTACACCCACGTCATTGTTAATGGACGCTCATCGTCATGTCCTTTTCATCAGCGCCATTTGCAAGAACCTGTTCCATTGGTTTTTTCTTCTCATCACTGTTCTACTTGGTTATGTTAAAGGAATATTTAGTTGTCACACGATTATTGTACTAGTTTTCAACTTTTGGGTCTGCATTCCTTATTCTCGTTTGTTTTGTGACCTTTGTTTAAACGTTTCATTTCGTCATTCTGATTGGTCAGTGCCCGTCACTGTAAATGGACGTTCGCTTTACGCTTGGAGTCCAATGATGCTATTTTTAAGGACATATGCGATTCGCTCTTACGTACACGGTTGCTTATTCGCCGTTGCATTTGACATTTTTCCTTCTGTTGGTTGGCTCAAGTGTACTTTAGTAGCTTCCCTTCATTTTGCCCTCAAACTATATAAACAACTGTGATTTCATGTATACAAGTCTCCTTCTGGCTCGTCTTTGGACTTCTTCTTGCGGTCGTGGGGTGAAGGCATCAGCGGCGACACAACAGTTCACTCGAACACCCCAATGTTCATCGATGAGCGAGAAGATCTCTTTCAACGTGGGTTTCTCCCTCAGGTTTAGAGCATCAAATATACATCGACCCTCTGAGTCGAAGCGCAAGCGCAAAAGCCTGAAAGTGTCCGCCGTTTTCGGCGTCACGGATGGATTAAGAACTGGTAGCACAGAAATAAAATCTGAAAACTAATTTTCCAGTCTTCCCAGCATTCGGCATTTGGAGTAACCGCAGAGTCAGTCCAGAACGTTGCAGGAGTAGTAGTATGCAAAGACATCGGTAACACGCGACGTCAATTTGTTGTATCCCGAAAAGCAGCAGACCAGAGCAGCACCGGAACATATGTATGGCAAATACTGTCCGCACGGACGCACGTTACAATTACATCGATAGACGTTCGAATTGCAACCATTCAAATGCAAGATCACACAACTGGCCAACGAGTGCTAAATAGCAGTATGCGCGAATCGAGGGCAAAAACAAAACAAAGTATTTGAACACAACAATAATCGCAGCCTATAAACGGTTGTATGCAAAATGTAGTTGAGTATGTGCACATGCAGCAGGCATCACTTGGTGTTGCCCCATCGAAACAGTACCGGTCGACTGAGCAACGCTTTCTGCTTGACACTCGTAGACTTACCGCTGTTCGTGCTGTTTCTACAGTAGATGTGGTCTCTCATAGAGAAGCATTTTGAGAGAGCGCCGTATGCAAAGTCTCGCAGTAAATCATGTTCCATTTACCAGTTTTTATGTTCCCGGCGTACACAGAGATGCCAAAAGCGTAGGAACTCCGAATTTATTATCCCCTTCCCCGGAACTGGGTAGTTTCACACGAACTAGGGTCCCTGTGTGGCGAGTATTTCCCAGTCGTCTGTATTTAGATTGGTAGGCATATCGTGTTGCATATTCAGTAGGGTCCGCAGTATCTTAGAATTTACAGGCTGCATGTAACCGGGTTCAAATGACGCTTCCCAGCATCAGTTCTGATGGTGATTTGGCCGTGGTTGTATGCGGTGTGGCTCTGTATCTAGTCAAAGCTGATACCAAGACATCCTCCCAACATTATCCATGCTGATGGACTGGTATAGAGTTCTTCAGCGTGTGATTTAGCTGTTCAACCAAAGTATTAGCAGCCGGTCCATAAGATACTGTTCTGGCGTGTTTGGTGCCATTGGTCCGAAGGAATTCGGCATACTCGCTACTGAGAAACTGAGGCCCATTATTAGTGAGAAATTCTTTCGGTAGCCCATACCTTGCAAACAAATGCTGCAGTCACTTTATAACGATATCTGTAGTTATGTCTGCGCATAAGATAGCTTCTGGCTATTTGCTATAAAAGCAGGTGACAACCAGCACAGTTCGTCTCTAAGCAGGTGCGTTGGCACATGGGCCCGTTATTCGATAGCAATTTATGCCCAGGGCTTCATGGGACACTCAAAGGGCTGAACTGGGGCTCCCAGGGGTTTTGCGCTCTTGTCGGATTGTTGGCAAGCATTGCACTCCCGAACTACAGTCTCAACCCTGGGATTTGCCTTCGACCATCAGTGTTAATCGCGTTTTTGGGCCTTCGTTCTCACAATACAAAGATGACCCTCATGTGGATTCAATCACCGCTGGAAAAAAGGCTGAGTAATCACAATCTTTTGGCGTCTCATAATGCAACTACCAAGTAGAGGAAGCTCGTGCTGAAGATTGCAGTGGGGTAGTAACGCTGGTTGCCTACTATTGTGGCGAGGCCACGCATTAAATGGATACCCCTAAGATTCACTAGTCTGTGGTCTCCGTCAGTATGTTCGCGTATCCGGTCGAGTGTTATAGCAGAGAGTGTTCCATTTGAGAGATGGGAAAGCATTTGCACCACATCTAAGGCATTGTTCTCCCCTTCGCTTAACAGTGGAAGCTTGGCAAATGCATCGGCAACCTGGTTAGCACCATCCGGTAAGTATCGGATTTCGTGGTCCTAGTTTAGTAGGCGCGAGTACCAGCGACTTAGACGCACTGGCTTTTGACCCTTATTACCACGGTTCAGTAATAACGTAAGGGCAGAGTGATCCGTGCGTAAAACGAATGGACGCCTGAAGGACTAAAATTGCCATTTCGCATTGGCCCAAACAAAAGCCAGCACCTTTTTCATCACCAATAGAAGAAAAATCTCTTTCGGTGTCCGACAAAGTTCATGAGGCATATGCTATTAGTTTCTCTTCACCCTAGTGTAACTGGGAGAAAACTGCTCTAAACCAACATCCGAAGCATCTGTTGCAAAAACGTTGGACAGTACTCGCTGAAAATCGCTACCGAAGGAGTGAACGGGACCATCGTATGGTGTGATAAGATTCCTTTTGTTCAGTAGCCCAGTAGAAGTCTTCTTTCTGACGTGTCAATTTCCTCAGCGGTGGTCACTAAACTGGGCATATGTCGAAGTAGCGAGAATACAAGCACAGGAACTGTTTCGATTGTGGGTTGTTGCACGGTTTGGGGCAATCAAGGATAGTTCTGTTATTCTGACAATTTGATCTAATACCACGAGTAGCACTCGCATACCTAATGTACTCCATTTCAGCCACGGAGAACTGATACTTGCTAGTATTTAGACGAAGACTGAGCACCTTCTTGAGCAGAACATTGTGGAACTTCACTTCATGTTCAGTAGCGTTGCTCCAAAACGCACAGACTCATTCATGTAAACAGTGCATACTTTGAGGTCGGAGAAGGTTAAGGTGACCATGACGGTGTTCCAGGAAGAAGCTGGCAGAAACGATACAACAACTGGCTTCCGGCCTCTTATATTCTGGGATCAGAGGAAACTTGCTAATGGAATACGCTGACAAGCTATCCTGGGATCTGGTCTGCGACGTAGCGCGTGCAAAGGTTGAAATTAACGAACAAAGGAAAACTCAGGAAGGCGTGGATAACCCGACCGCCCACTTGCACCTGTCATCGCCCGCAGGAACTCGTGGATGGAAACTGTCGCACATCACAGCAAGTATTTTCATCAGCATCCAGCCATGCTACAAGCTGTACAACATGAGTTTGGAGACTCAGCTGGTGGTTGTGAAGTTGTGGATATTCTAACCAACAAAACAACACAGAAAGCTTTGAAGTGGCAACTGAGTTGCATCGCACCAGTTTGTAAGTACATCATCCGTCACTTGAAAATTGTCGAATTAGGACCCCCGGTAACCCATAAGAATTACATCTCCGATCTATCTATACCGCTGAAAACTGCCGCTGAATTAAACAGGCTGCAGTATTTGCAAACAGGGGACTGACATTGAGGCGTCTAGCAAAATCCAAACTGACATGTTTGTCTGCTTCTCCCAAGCTATCAAAATGGCGCAGGTGTTACTTACGCCAGAGGCTAGCTGGCAGTTTCTGAAAGCCATTAGAGTGCTTGACCCAAAACAACATATCACCTTGCCCAGGGATCCGTGCAGCTAGGCCGACTTTCCAAGCCTGGTTGTCCCCCCAGCTCTGTCAGCTGTGTGGCTAATCTATCGAAAAGTGGTGGAACTACTGCATGGAGCACAATGTGAAAACACGCTGGCCTTCTGGTGCGTAACGCATGAAAGAACTCCACAACTGCTAGACATTGCCGACTACTATCTATTCCATTCCGTTATTTTGGTAGACGCTGAACGGATCTTTAGTGACTATAAATTATGTCTGACAAGCGTCACAACCTTTTAGAAGACAGA